TCAGTATATCTATCCGGCTTAATTTTAATTAGGAACGCAAGTATTATTGCAAGTCAGTTTAACGCAATTAAAAGTAATTAAAGTACACCGGATGCGCTCTTTTTTTTTTTGCAACAGGCCGCTGTATTCGGACTGTAGCGATTTTTATCCCAGCTTCTCCAAGTCTCGGCGGAGTTGGAAATTTTAAGCTCGTCCGGGTGTAAATACAAGAGCTTGATCGCGAATGAGCAATGAAATTGTAGACAATTGTGCAAATACATAAGGCACACATATGTACAATATCATCCGGCGAGACATATACACGAGGTGCGCAAACATTGTCTCCACGTTTCTTTGTCGGAATTCAATATTTGTTCCTCCCGAATGAAAGTGTATTATCGCGTATCAATCAAGAAGAACAAATGTTTGCCGAGGGGCGGAGGATAGCTTCGACTTCGACTAGTCGACTAGTCGGCGAGACGACATACCGCCATCCCCCTCCCCCCCCCTCCGGGTAGAAAATCACCGATCGACGGTGGGATTAATTATCCACGATTAATAAATATCTGTCGGCCGGGAGTTTGATCCGCGGTCATGATCGACCAAGTAATCACACAATCGTTTTAAGGTCGATTTAATCGGCATGCCCAGTTCATATTGCAGGTCGCGAGACGCTGTTTAAATTGCATCGCGTCGCATTGATGCAAAATGTAAGCATTACGTGAGTCGAATCTTGCGTCGCACTTTATACAGGATGTTGCTGAAATACTCGGGCCGTGCTTTGCAGATGTTCTCCTTGATCAAGTTGGCGCCGATTTTTCCTCGGAAATTTGACGGAAATTTGATTTTGCCACGGTCTCCTCTTTAACTTTAAATATTAAATACTCTGGCAACTGAGTTGCCAATATATTTAATATTTGACCTGAAATTCCGTGTTAAAATAAACACAAAATTGTATACAGGATATAAGATTTTATTAGTGATATCTATCTCTAAAATTTAATAATACAACACACCTGTTATTTCCGACTATTTTCAACAACCACTTCAAACGCATCGATATTTTTGATATAAATAAGCTTATTTTGAAAAATAAGTTATAAACTGTTGGAAAATTACATTTATGAAGTTTGTCCAAGCATTTTAGGAGCACACTGTACACGAACGTTATACATATGTGGGAATTGTCAGCGTCTTTCTTCGCCTATTTCTACGTAGACTTCAATTTTGAATTTTGCGAGGATAGACGGAGTGGCAAATCGGATTTCCTGAATTGTCGAGATCTCCGCTTCTCTCGGGGAAGCATCATCGAAAACCAGTTTGAACGGCTGGATACACGTGATCGATAAATAGTCAGACGAGGACGTGCGAGTGTCGTTGAAAGATTCGCAACTTGCGAGGTGACGCAATAGATTTGTCTGCCACAGTCGTTTTAGGACAACGCGCAGCTTCGTACATCACGCTCATGTCCTTCTCTACGATTTTTACGGGGTTGAGAGACGTGTTTCAATTACATAACAAAAACCGAATGTTTGTCTCGTCGAGAGAAATCGTCGCGTCGCAGAAAATATCGGCAGCCGATCGAATATTTTATCCATCGTAAGACAACGTTGGAGGTCTGATAATAATCTGTCTACGCCGTGACCGATTCCGTTTGGTTTTTGTGCAAATATGACGCGATGCTTGATAGTTACGGTATTCGAATTTTGAAGCGGTATCCGTGCCGCGATCGATAGCGTCTTTAGTTTCAATTTGCGTGTCTCGAAATGGCGTGCTGCCTGAAAACAAGGCGGGTTTCGCTATGACGCCACTTTAAGTGGTAACCCACTTGCTGACAAATTGGCGTGACTCAGTCTTGTTCCATTCGGGGATTATTGCAAACTGCGTAGCAAAGGGCGTATCTATCTCTCTCTCTCTCAACTCGAAACTGAACGGCTGATGGCTGAAAAGTTTCTTCAAATAGTTCTACTACCGCGGCGTGGCAAATATTGAGACGCGTCTTTTCCTTTTCGTCAAGGCGACAATATTATTGTCGCCTTGATAAAAAGGAAAAGACGCGTCTCAATATTTGCCACGCCACGGTAGTAGATCGGGCTACTTGCACACTTTTATCATGTTTACAAAGTTTAATTACTCGCCTGTTCTCGCAGCCAGACGTACAGGGCAAACCTAAATTAGCATGCATACGAGGGCTATGACACCGAGACACAGTAGAATTAATATTCCCAGTAAAGGCAGCGAAATCCGAATCAGGGCGCAATCACGACGGCTGAATAGCGGACGCGGAGATATAGCGTTAATTATGTGCCAAATCAATTAGCAACTTGTTGATCGTCATTAATACTCGATAAACCTGGTCAAACATTCAAACGGTCCTTGCGAAGGTCCGGAAAACTTATAAGCCATAAACAACAATGTATGCAACGTGGTCCCGTTCTCGCGGATCACGCGCAGATTTAATGCCAAATTATCCCTAATCGCCGTTATATACCGCGAATGCGAATCACGCTTTAGCTGTAACGAACGCGTGTAAACGTGCGTCGCTGTCACAACACGTTGCACTTTGCGTGATCCAAGGATAGAAGCTCGAAATAAAGGAGTGAGGACCAGACGTGGCAGGAGACATTTTTTGATACGAATGAAGATACGTAAAATTTTTAACTAAAAAAACGAACTTTATTAAAACAAAATATATAAAACGTACGAATAAAAAATATATATATATATTCAACGTCTTATAAATAACAGAAATAATAAAATCATTTTCAAAACTAACTTCTATCTCTGAGAAGACGATATGCGCGATAATTTAAATATCTCTTTCGGCTGACTGCACTTCTCCCGTGCCATTTTATTAATAATAATATTAAATGAACAAGTGTAATCGACCTGGTGTTCCTCAGTAGTTTGACATCTATTGTGTCTTTTCATATTCCCTTATTATGTTCTGTACATGCAGCCTCGTCGCGGTTGGCCCGCTTATATCATATCTCGTTTACGGAACTCCGGCGTATTGTTGTACTATCCTGTTCCACTCCTTCGGGAAGGATCGCTGAATGTGAGAAAGGACCTTCTTGATCTGACGTGTCTCCTCGGGGTTGCACTGCGGGCAGGAGCCTCTCAGAACCAGCGGCACTAAACCTGGATAAAATAACGACGTAGGATTTCAACAGAATTTTCGGGTCGGTTTTATGTAGTATGTAAGCTTATATGCGCAGGTCCCTCTCGAGATTCATGTATGTGTGCACAATATTATCGCAAGATATAATGGTATTTGATGTTTAACATTTCCGCGAGCGTATATAGTCTGTTCCGGAATTCCTGATGCTAATTTTAACCTTTTATGAGGCAAGCGCTGCCGCGCGTGGCACGAAAAATAAGGATGGAAAAATGATGGAGATTACGAAAGAGAATAAATATCTGTGAACGATATGAGTTTGAATACCGTGGCGATACTCTCAATTTTTAGCATTTCCGATAAAGAATTGAAACTAATACGATTTCGCTGAGTTCCGCTTCCGCTTCTACAGGCACACACGAAAATGTTCGACCCCTATGTTTACTCTGGAACGATGGAAACGCGACAATTAGTGACGTTCTTGTTCGCGTATCTCTCACAGTGGAAATTGAACGCACCGAAATTACACGAAAATTACACCAGCCGTGAACTTTGTTTGCACAATTTCGATAAATATTAACTCAAATTTGCTTTGAAAATATGAAAGGGGTATCTTCCATTCCCTGTGATCTTTTTCTCAGAGTGCAGCTATCTGTAAAGATCGGTCAATTTTCTGCGGCTGCGTCGAAAATTGTGGGATCAAAGAGAATTGAAAGTTTTAAGTTTCATTTCGGATAATAATGGGAATGTATTTGTACTTGTACGATGGATTTACTCGTACTTTTCAGACGTCGTCCAACGGGGTCGCATGGCGCCTCACCCAAGGCGCACTTAAGCTGTCTGTTCAGGTAACGTTTGTCGCTCAGGGCCATATTCAGTTGTTCGTCGGAAACTCGCGATCTACCGGATTGCTGCCCCTCGTCGTCCGCCGACTCGGTGGCCATCGCCACGGCGAGGAGGGCACAGGCCAGGACGAGGATCTGCAACATAATTACACATATATGCAAATGCGTGGCCCACAATGGCGCACCGATTATTATTACCGAATGCAACCTTGATACCGACAGCTAAACGGGCGTCGACGGGCGTCGTTCCCAGCTTTTTCAGCGCTTTCGCGATAGTCTGGGATAGTCCCTCGACTTTATTGCCTCGCCGGATTTCCGCCGTACGGCGAACGCCGCGGGGCGTAAAAAAAGAGGGAGACGGAGAGTGTTTTACGCGAGTTTCGGCGAGCCGCCGCGCGATGCCACGTTAAACTTATTAACCCCGGGCTGTAGCGACGGGGGGTGATATCCCGACGACGGTGCTTAACGTGATTACATCATCTGCAAGTATTATAATAAACGGGTTCCGACCTTTCGGTGAGACACAGGACGTGACACGCGCGCGTGCGCGCGCACAGATGGACCCTGCATGAAGCGAAATTAGCCGCACGGCCGTCCGACAATAAGGGCGGAAGCACGTCTGTCATGCGGTAACGAAAGCGGATAAGGTAAGGGTTGGCCTGCAGGCGAGGCGACGTGGCGACGGCGCACACCCCGGCGAAGCACGCCAAAGCTAACACGGCTAAACAAGCAGCAACCACCGTCGTGCTGTTGCTGCTATACGACGGTGGTATGCGAGTGGCTCCAATCTCTGTTTGCTCGTTCTTCTCTCTTCTCTCGCATCGCGTTGCATCGCGCGTCGCCATTGTCGTCGTCGTCGTCGTCGTCGTCGTCGTCGTCGTCGCCACCGTCGTCGGGATTTAACTAAGGTCGCCGCTTTTAAATTACCTCCTTGTCGCCTCGTCGCTCGGCGCGCGCGACGCTCTCTCTCCTCCTTTTTTCATAAACTCTCACGACCATTCTAATTCGGGAAGTAAATTTTCTCCTCGCGCTCTCAGCACCGCGCCACGCTCGCCGCGGTCTCCTCCCTCATTAAGGGTGCTTCTTTAGAGATTCAGCGGGTGCGCTAACAAGTGCCGGCTAATTTTGCATGTATTTGCGTATTATCGCGTGGAAACGATACAATTATTCCGCCGCGCGAATTAAGGAGGATTCTCTGGACTTACAAACCACGCGAATGTCCACGAATAAGGGCAAGTTAAACACGCGCAATCTAAACCGCGCGTATTCATTTAAAATTATTTGCCCGATGCGAAACGCCAGCGCCGTTATACCGCGCTGTGATATACCGCTGATGGAATTTTCGAAACATCAAATATGCACTACGTGATATATGGGCATATGAAAAAAAGTGCTATCCTAGTTTGAACTGTGTACATGTATGTTTGAAAGTGCCGACACACTGCTCGATGATAGTCCCGCCGCTGGTGAGAGTTTTTATACCTCAAAATAGGATACAGGTCAATTGGCTCTTTGGATTTGTGCGCCCATCAAAAAAATATGGCGTGTGAGTGTGTTTCGTCACGTTGTCTCACGTTAGCCGTTAATCGAACGAGTTTATGGAGACGCGTTGATTATCCGACACGATATAGCTTCGACGTAGGAACGTATTTCTAGATTATTACGAGCCCGTAATATACCTGAGCCCGTAGGCAATCGAATTCCTTCGCGCGCTGTTTATTGGATTCCTTTGACATCCTTTGTGCTAACGTATTCGCGCTGATCGAGGCCCTCTTTTGCATATCGCTTCGCGAGTAAACCCGTTTGGGAGCTATCCCAAGCTATCCGCGCCGCGATCGGAAACGTATGATTCGTGTCGTCTATGTCTTTTATTTTAACCAATTTTTTTTTCTCTTTTCCTCACGCGCGTTATAATTTGAATTTTTAATCCCGCCGTCCTTTCACTGCTTTCTCCGGCCTGAATTTCGAATAACCTCGGGCTTTACGATCGCCGATTTTCTTTCTTGCCTTCGCGGTTTTTTTGCGAACATTTTACGTAGCCGGCTTTACGGTGAATTTTTTTATCTTATTTCTTCTTTCATTGTAACGCTGGTACATACGATGTACGCGAGATAATGGAATACCAAATTTTTCGCTCTCGATAGAAACGCTCTTGGTGACTAATCAAACGAAAATAAAAGCGTCGTAAACTTTTTAGTTCCACATGCAATTGCAAGTTTGTATGGAATAATTTATTATTAGAATTAAATTTTTACGTTTCTGCTTTAAAAATATCGCGTATCTGTCGACGCCGGGTTTCATGATCCAAATACGGCTTAATCACGGCGTAATTACGTTTCGCATTTCAAGTCGCACTTAGCACGTCTGCCTCGTCCGTCTGATTTCCCGGCGGAGACGCGAAATCTCGCGAATTTCGACTTTTGTGGCAGAATCCTAATAATCGCGACGGCTCCGTAAATCACGGCGCGCACCACGCAGCATACCTATACATTATATATATATATATATATAACGCGAAAGTGATTTGTGGATTCGATGCGGGTGCGCTCGCGCAAAACCGCTTACTTCCGCAAACCGGTGTGGATTATAAGAATTATTGCCCGTTCTGAATGGCAAATTGGCGTCGATATATAGATTTTATCGGTGGCACGTCCGCGCTAATACCGGTCCTCTTCGCTTGTTATAACACCGGAATGTTTCGTGCAATGAGTGCCACGCGGCTTCTCTCTCTCTCTC